TCCTGAATTTGTTATAGCAATAACAATTTTTTGGTGAACAAAATTGCTCCGGTTTTAGGTTTGCTTTTGTTTTTGTTTTGTCTAACGTCATTAACTGTCTTAAGTGCAGGACATGACTGGTCATGTGATCTCAACAAGGCAGCCTCCATGCCTGCATCTCATGTCTCTAACTATTAATTTCTTTAAGTGTAATATGTTTTTAGTGGAAAAGCATTTAAATCCACATTCAGGACTGGGCCTCTTATACATAGATGTGGGTCTACTGTGTGAACGGGGCCAGTAGGTCAGTCTCCAAGCACCAACAAATTTTTAAGGGAAGGCATGATCTGATATTATAGTATGAGGATTAACAAAATGGAGGGAGCTCATGAGATTAATCATTAATTTGATGATAAATGCAAGTAATTTCTCAATAGCTTGTTTGGGACGAGTGCCCTATGAAATAATGGCAGTCAAAGCTTTGTTCATTATGTGTTCTGCATCACATAGTCAGCCTTAAATAAATGCTTGAATGAGCCCTATAACGTATTTACTTCAACCACTTATGAAATTTCAAAATTTATTTAAAGATTTAAAATCAGTTCGAGCTACAGAAATGCATCTTCATATTTACAAGCTTCGATTTTATGTGTGGCTACTTTCTATCCGTGTTCGGGATTGGCTGAATAATGCAAAAACTGACACTATAAAAATTAAAACTTTGACAACAATATTTATAATGTCTAAATATATGTATATATATATATATATATATATATAGGGCTACACCATGATATTAAGTTGATTTTTCTCTATTTTCTCAATTTTTCCTCTATTTTTTTATTGCCACATAGTTATTTTTTTATTATTTATTGTCTATTCTCTTTATTATTAGTGTTATTTTATTTTATTATATGTATGTCTATTATGTATGTCAAATTATATGTATGTCTGCACTATGTCTGTACATTTTTCTTTGCACTGGAAGCTTGTAACCAAGACAAATTCCTTGTGTGTGTGAACACACTTGGCAATAAAACCCTTTCTGATTCTGATTTTCTTTATTTAAAATATATATAATATTTCTTTGTTCTCTCCACCAGATGTCACCAATGTGCCTCCATTAAACTTTAATTTAATTAAGGTATATACTTAAAGGGGTAGTTGACCCAAAAATGGATATTTGCTGTTAATTTACTCCCCCAGGCCAAGATGTAAGTGACTTTTTTTCTTCAGTAGAACAGTAGAGAATATTTTTAGCTGAAACTGTGGTCCTTGGTGATTCATAAAATGCAAGTCAGTGTGGCTACTGTCACTTTGAGCATCGATAAATAAATAAATAAATAAATAAATACATACATACATACATACAAAAAACCCAACCAACAAATCACCTGTGAATTTTTCAGGTTAAAATGTCACTGTTTAATCTGTTTCACACTCTTGATGACATATTCGTTGTATGCAAGAGCTTTAACAGTGTCCAGAGGACAAGAGATATACAGATATATAATTATTTCTCAAAGCCTCACTGCAGCTCAGAAATGACAAGTGTACATTTTGTAATCTCCTGTTATCACATATCACTCATTTCACAGTGAATTTCAGAGTACATAGAAATGTTGTACCCTTTGATCAGAAGGTTGTATGTACCATTCAAGCAAAAGCAAACATTTTTTGTAATTAATTATTTTCTGTGCACCATACCCCTAATGCACCAGCAATAAATATATTATTTTAATTTTTAAAAATTTGAATGAATATTTATTCTCTTGTTTTTAGTACAGTACAATCGCGTTGGAGATAAGCACATGAAACCTGTCTTTTGCAGCCATTCATGACATGCACAACAAAATTTAATTTGCTACTTGCAGATACTGAATATTCAGTGATTACAGATGTATGTAGATACCTATAACTAAACACTCAGCACTGTGTGTTTTTGGGATCACAAGGACAGTCAATATAACAGGATTGGTCAGTGGACAAATATTTCCTCAGCAAGGTGGATATTGCAGCTTTCTCATGAACAAAAACTCAGGCCAAACATGCATAAAAACACCTTTTACTAACCAATTGCAAATGTTTTATTGAAAGTGTAATCTACTAAATGCAATGACAAATCATATCTAAAATGTGTTCTTTTATTAATTTGCAGGGATTTTGTTTATTTTATTCTCTAAACCTGCCAATAAAAGATTACTACTACTACTCTTTTATTGCACAAATGTCCCAACCCTAACAATGACTCACTTTGCCATGATATTGCAATGGCAATAGCTTTTTGGTGAACAAAATTCATATTTTAGGAGGGTTGCTACGGTTTGATGTTTGTTTACTAACTGTCCAAATGCAGGAAATGGCTGGTCATGTGATCTTAACATGGCAGCCTCCATGAGGGGGTGAGTTCTTTAGGTGTAAAATGTTTTTAGTGGAAAAGTACTTAAAATGCACATTTGTACTTTTTACATGACATTGATGATGTTTTATTTTAAATGGCTGAAAAATGCTGCTCAGATTGATTTCTAATACAAACTGACCGGTAGCCCCTCTTTTACATATATGGGTGTAGGTTAACTACTGTGTAAACAGGGCCAGCAGGTCAGTGACCATAGTTTTTTTTTTTACTGATTGCAAGAGCATGATGATAAAAACAATATCATTACAAACTAAATATGAATGCAATCTTATGTTTTATCATATGTTTCTGTTTACATAATTTTTTTTAATATTTCACAGTATAAACAAATATATATGTATCAGCTTTGCATCATATACATATACATATATGTACATATATGTATCAGCTTTGAGTCACTGTCACAGTCACTCTTGATGATATCTGCTACTAATTACTTGTTTTTATCTTACAGAATTTAAATGATCCATACTGTACATGATGTTAGGAGTAGTTCAGAAATGTCTTGAGACCTTTGCACAGTGGCCCAAAGCACTAATTGGGAAGACATGTTTAGTAATGATCTGATATTAGAGTACTAGGATTAACAAAATGGAGGGAATTCCAGATATTAATAATTAATTGAATGCAAATAATTTCTGATGAGTGACCTTTGAAATAAAGTCACATTCAAAGTTTTGTTCATAGTGTGTTCTGCACGATCAGCCTTCATCATGAGGGCTCATCAAGGGCTCCTTCTAGTTTCTTTGCTTTTCCTTTCTGTCCATGGACAAGCCTCAGGGCCGTACGTAACATTTTTTTTTTTTTGGTGAAATTAACACTTGAATAGGATCCTTAAAATGCTGAAAGTGTGCTCCACTATACCATGCAATAATTTAATTTAAAAATAAAAATAATTTATCAGCACAGATGGGACCTGCTTAAACTGAAGTGCAGGAAGTTCTAGAATACTGTATGTATTGAAATACAAAAGTGGCAGAACTGTTTAAAACATTTTTGTCTTTGATTATGTCTGAAACTTGGGCAAGCATATCTCTTTATGCTTTGATAGCTCTCAGGTCTTTCATGGTGACGTTTCCTGCAGTGATCGAGTCGGGATCTGAGGCCAAACTGTGTGCAAGTTTTCTCAAGCCCAATGAAAGCCTTGCCATGAACATTTATTTGGTTCATGGTGACCAGAGCACTTTACTGCTGCAGGAGAAAGCTGAGGAAGAGTTTCACCGCTGCTTTAACTTTCAGATTTGCCAGCAAGAAAAGTGCATTCACATGTCATTGAACATTTTAGTTAAGATATGTTAAATAACATGTCTCCCAACAGACACCTCTGGTCGAAGAAGAATCAGTGCAGACAATGAAGGTAGAACTTCAGGGGAAGAACTTCAAGATGACTGAAAAGAGAAAAGTCATGTTCAGATGTTACAACCCTTTGACTTTCATCCAGACTGATAAACCCATCTATATTCCAGGACAGACAGGTGAGCTGTGAATGTTTGAGATTTAAAGTTCAATGAATACTAAGGTTGTTTAATTTGTTTCACACTGTTGATGTCATAGTGTTTTTACGGGATGTCATTAGTGAAAGAGCATTAGCACTGTGGGGCACAACAGACATAGTCCACAGTAGCCACACCCCAAACCACTGGGTTATTTCATGCTGCTTGGTTTTATTTGAATCCAACAGTGCTAGAAAAAGTATATGGAGCTTATAAACCAAAACTTAAAAATCTTAAAATAATTAGTTTTAATTGTCAAATATATCATATAAACTGTTTTTTAAATGTACCCCTAAACTGAACTACTATATGTCTAAACCGTTACTCATGCAGGGGCGTAGCCATAATAAGGATAAGGATAAGGCAGAAAATGTATTTCATAGTTTCTATACTGTAATAAATGTCAAGTAGCACTACATAATTCGGATACTTTATTACCTGGAGATGACTTGAGACACACACATAAACCATATTGTCGCAATCGTGTGTTTTTTGTTTTCACATTTCATCTGTCAAAACTGGATGCCTTTGTCCATATTAGGGATTTTCCTGGCACGTCATAAGTTATTACTTCTACAAGTCCATTTTGGACCTCCGGCTTCGAATATGAATGAAACATACAGTACACTGCATGAGAGTGTTTAGCCATCCATAATGTTCACATCGCCTCATTTTGGATACGAATAAAACGTCATGCACATCTTTTCTCTTTGAATTTAAATCTATATTTATTCACATTGGCCCCTGACAACCTCTACGTGAAATATAAAAATACATTTCTTGCATGACAATTATCTTTTCGATTATAATTTTGAGCAAAAAAAAATTATCCATTTAATATTATAGCCTACAGCATGACGAAAATGTGATGAAAAGTTTTTATTGACTAAAACTAGAGTAAAATGCTCAGACATTTACTCGACTAAAACATGACTAAACAAAAACAGGACAACGTTGACTAAATATGATAATAACTAATAAGTACATTTGACACCAGGACTAAGACAATTAAAAATGGCTGACAAAATTAACATTAGTTTGATTAGGGTTGGAGCTAAACTCTTGCATCTTGAGGTCCAGAGTTGAGGACCCCTGATCTATACTGTCACGGTCATGTTCTTTTAGTTTAATTTTCATGGATTTTTAGTTTGTATTCATCAATTTCCTGCTTCCTTTGTTCTAGTTTCTCGCCACTCATCAGTTACCATGGACACTCATCAATTAGCACAAGTATTCTCCCTTTAGTTCATTATCACTGTGTATTTAAGTTCCTCTTTGTTCACCTTTTAGTTGTCTGGTATTGTTTGTGTTTCACACAACTGTCTCGCAGATTGGTTCTCTTTTGAGTTATTTAATAAACCTTGTTTATATTTTTATCATCATCTTCATCTTCCTTTGACTATTTGTGACTCTATACTGTCTTGTATTTAATTATGTAGTAAGTAGATTTCATTTAGTCAGTGTTTTTGTAATCAACTTTAATAAATGAATTCATTTTCAAATTAAATTCAAATCACATTTTCTTGCCATATTTCTCAGAGCCTGAGATTTTTTTTTTTATTTGAATGATTTTTTGTTTGTATGTTTTTAGTACAGTACAGTCGTGCTGGAGGTAAGCACATGATACCCGTCCAATGCAGCCATTCATGACATGCACAACAAAATTTTGATCTAATTTGCTCTTCAAATGTCTTCAAATGTCAAGATCTATGTAGATGACTAAAGCTAAACTATATCTGCGCTGTGTGTTCTTTGGGATCAAACAGGACAGTCAGAATAACAGGATTGGTCAGTGGACAAATATTTCCTCAACAAGGTGGATATTGCAGCTTTCTCATGAGCTTAACCCAGAGGCCCGTCAAGGCATTTAGAAACTGAGGGTTTTTATTGGTGAACGGGTGATCACACATTATTTTGAGGTGAAGAAGTATGATAAGTGACAATGTCACAGAACGTTTCTGAGAGTGATTATGAAACCTCATTCATAACCCATTTTAACTGATTCCCTGTACTTGATTTCCAGTTTTACCCAAGTTTGAAATTACCATGAAAGCTCCAAAAGAAGTAAGTTTTGGTGATAGCGACATGAATATGGAGGTTTGTGGGAAGTAAGTGAAGGTTTATTTTTTATTAATCCTAAATCAGTATTTCAAAAATGTAACTCAAAGCTTGTACTTCATAGATACACATTTGGACAACCAGTGGCTGGTAAAGCAAGGGTGGAAGTATGCCGGGAACATTTGAGATATATTTCTCAAACAGACTTGATTTCACCATGTTTGTTTGAAAATACTGAGGTGTGAGACTGTATTATTGTATGTTGTGTTGAATTTATGAAAACATTTTCATCATATGGTCTTTGTAATGGATGATTTTAATGGATGTGTTTGTACTCTACCAGCAGATGAGTGAGATGGGCTGTGCCTCCTTTACTTTGGACACATCAGTCTTTTTAACTCTATAAATGAGAGATTCCTAAAAGAACACCTTATTGTAAAAGTGAATGTAACAGAAGAAGGAACAGGTGACAGATCCAAGCAGAACTCGTTTGGATTACAAAAAAAAAAAACTCCATACACCCCAACACTAAGTGAACTGATTATAGAGAATATTGGGCAACCGTTAAAGTGTGATGCTGAGTTTACAGTGACCATCAAGTATTATTTTGTTGGAGACACTGTTGAAGAATTCAATACTGTCATTGTCTATATAGTGAGTACAATTGCTGCATGTTCATTGGCTATGTACAGTATTACAGTCATCCTCTGGGATCCTCAGTTTGTTATTGGAGTGTCATCTGTCTGTTTCAGGTCTTGTCCAGAGGAGTGATTGTTCATCATGGATCTGAGAAGGTTGAAGTGAAGTCTTCTAATGGAGCAGCAAGTGACACAGTGTCGTTCAAACTGTCTGTTGGTGCAGATCTGGCTCCTGCAGTGCAGATTCTGGCCTACTGTGTTCTGCCCATTGAAAATGTTGTTGCTCGTAGCAGAGATTTTACAACTGAGAAATGTTTCAAAAACAAGGTTAATTTAGATATAGCTGTCTTTAAACCTCATTTTAACACCACAAAATGGCTCCATTTTCATCATAGCAGCACTAAAATGGCACATCCTGTTGTCATTACAGGTTTCCCTGCAGTTTTCTCCTGCTAAAGCAGTTCCTGGTGAGAAAAACACTCTCCAGCTCTCAGCTCAGCCTGGTTCACTGTGCGGCCTCAGTGCTGTAGGTCAGAGCGTCCTGATCATGGAGTCAGGAAAACGTCTGGATACTGACAAGGTTTAATTGTGCAGCTTACGTGGTTAAAATGATAAATCTAACCTTAAAAAGCTTTAATCATTGGTAAATGTTTTTTAATCTCATCACAGGTCTTTAACCTGCTGTCAGTACAGGTAGTATCAGGTTACCCTTATAATGCTGTGGATGCACCAGAGTGCCTGGAAGTTAGACCTCGTCGGGCTATGTCACCAGACCGTGTTTATAACAGCTTGAGGGTAACAAACTGCTCATAAAATTGTTAAAGTTACTTATAAAGAGGAGAAAGTAGGACATAATGAAAATAAAGATAAAAAAGAGTATTTTAGTATTACACCAAACCCAAGGAATATAGATTTTAATTTACTTTGTTTTTAACATTCAAGCCTCATATTACATTTCATGTAGTTTCTAATTGCTGTTTGACAGAACGTGGGATTGAAGATGGCAACAAATTTGCCTGTGAGACAATCTTTTTGTCTGAGATACTATGGCGTAATTTATCACAAAAGTTTTCACTTTAGGTACGTTTACTTGAAATTTGTAATATAATGAATGTTTTGTTGTTACATGTAGGCCTAATTGCAGAAAATGTTTAAGGGAACCTGAAATCATGTGACTGGAATATCACTTTGTCCTGCTGTTGTTGAAATAACAGTTTCTTAGTGTTAACTGCTGATGTCTAAAATGGATTCAGATGCATAAACTAACAAAAAGAGTTTTGGATGAGTAAATGCATAAATAGACTCATGGGGGAATATAAGAATCAGTTTATACCTGCTGAGAGCACTGGTTCTTTGCACATGTGCATTAGTCATTTATTTTAATTTGCAGAGAGGATTGCCTACAAACATAATTTAGAAGGATCTGCTCAACCACCGGTCGAGACAGTTCGTACCTTTTTCCCAGAAACATGGATCTGGCAGCTCACTGAAGTGGGGTACGTACATGCCTTGAGGACTTATTCAATGATACCCATTTTATACCACTTTATTTTATCCCCAAGGGGAAATTCAGACATTACAGCAGCATGGACAAGACAGTAGAAAAACACAAAATAGAATGAAGTAGAAGAAGAGAAAAAAAACTTAAGCAGACTAAAATAGTAAGAAAAAAAAGGAAAACCTTAAAAACAGTACAGTAATAATGACTGAATATTCAACATAAACATCATGAATACTGATATTCACTGAAATGTAATGTACTTCTAAAAAAATATCCTGAATATGGGTAAATATATTGATAAAACTGGTCCTATAGGAGTGTCAGAACCAAGCCTCAGTACTAAGGTACTATATGATGATATTAAAGTGTCTGACGGCTGTTGAAACAAAGGATCTCTGGTAGCACTCAGTTTGTCAAGTCTTTTCTCTCTGATTTTACCACTCCAGCAGACCACAGCATAGAAAGATGCTGATGCAACTACAGTATCATAAAATGTTTTTAGTAGTGCCCTACACACCCTCAAAGTACCTCAATCTCTTCAACAGATGGAGGCGACTTTGGCCCTTCCTGTACAAAACACTCATGTTATCTGACCAATCCAATTTATTGTGTTTGTGAACACCCAGTTACTGGTACACGTCTACCATCTCAATGTCAAGTCCCTGGAGGTTAACACTGCATTTTACTATACTATGCTGCACAACAGGGACTCTGGATCAGCTCAGGTTCCTGTCACGGTTCCTGACACCATCACCTCTTGGGAGACGGAGGCCTTCTGGCTGTCCTCCAAAGGTCTGGGTCTGGCTCCTCCTGCTCAGCTGACAGTTTTCCAGCCCTTCTTCCTGGAGCTCTCTCTGCCTTACTCCATCATTCGTGGGGAGATCTTTGAGCTGAAGGCCACTGTCTTTAACTATCTGTCCAAGTGCATCATGGTGAGATTTCAGACCCAGTCTTATCCAATCATATCACATATGCCACTAATCATGTGTGTTTGACTGACAGGTTAAAGTGACTCCAGCTGCTTCCTCAGACTACACTCTCAAAGACTCTGCCGATGATCAGTATTCATCCTGTCTGTGTGCTAATGGAAGAAAAACCTTTAAATGGATCCTCACTCCTTCTGTTCTTGGTGAGTTTTCCAGTCTGAATCATTGTTTCTCAGTGTTTGTGTCTGTTGTATCTTCACGTACATGTCTTGTGTTGTAGGAGTCTTGAATATTACAGTCAGTGCAGAGGCAGAGGCGTCCCAGACTGTGTGTGACAATGAGATTGTGAGCGTGCCAGAGAGAGGATGCATTGACACAGTTACACGAAGTCTACTTCTGCAGGTCAGCACACGTCAAACAACTCTCAGATGCCATTTATCCATGATCCTAATGCTGCTTATGTCAGTATGATGTGGTGATGTTATTGTTTTATGCTGCAGGCTAAAGGAACTGAAAAGACAGAGACCTACAGCTGGTTACTGTGTCCAAAGGGTTTGTCTGCAGACAATATTCAGCATCATAGTGTTTCTCTGCTGATCACTGATATGTGTTTCTGTCTCTCTGGTTCATATGCTACAGTCTCTCAGAGGAAGTGAATCTGACTCTTCCTAAAGATGTGATAGAGGGATCAGCCAACTCCTCTGTTTCAGTCATTGGTAACATTTACATACACAAGCAGAAAGGAAGAGTTTGTGTTTGAATTTCTAAAATGTAGTGTTATATTTGTGTTTGGATTGTAGGAGACATATTGGGTCGTGCACTGAGGAATCTTAACGGATTATTACGGATGCCGTACGGCTGTGGAGAACAAAATATGGCTGTTCTTTCTCCCAATATTTACATTCTGCAGTATCCGGAAAACACGGAGCAGCTCACCTCAGCCATCCGAGAGAGAGCCACCGGCTTCCTTAAGAGCAGTGAGAGAAATCAATCATGTCAAGAAAATACAGAGAAAATAATTCACAACACATTTGACTTCAGACACACTTAATCAACTCAAAACATTTAATAATTTTCAAACTCAACAGGATACCAGAGACAACTGAACTACAGACATAACAGTGGTGCATACAGCACATTTGGACACGGTGATGAGAATACATGGTAAATATTTGTAACTTTTCACTCTCACTTTTTTTCACAAAATAGTTAGAAAGTTAAAATAGTAAGCAGATAAATGGTATTTAGTTTCAATAATTAATGTACAGATTTAATCAGCTGAAATAATTGGTCACTTGAACAGCATGATAACTTACAGAAAATAGCTTTTCAGTGCACTCTTGTTGGGTATGTGACAAATAATATCTCATATATATAAATCCCCACAGCTTGAACCTCAGTGCCATTCAAGAACATCACTTGTGGAGCTGGCCGATTCTAAAGATGATCATGTCATTGTGTATCTGAAAGAGGTGAGAAAACAGCAACATTCATATGATATGGTGAATCATTCAGATTTTACATGACTGATTATCCTGTTTTTAGAATTCCAATGAATCTCCAGATAAAATTGAAACAGGTTCTTCCAGTGAATAATCTCAAACCAGCTGTGATTAAAGTGTATGATTACTACCAAGCAATTAAGATTTCATATGCCTTTTCCTGGGTTTTTATTATGTGATTCAAAAGTATCAGTTGCTATTAAGCTAATTTCTCTGTATCAATATCTCCCTCAGGTGATGATCAGTCAGAGACCGAGTACATGTCCCATCAACAATCCAGTTACACAAATCACTTAGTATACAAATGACAAAAAAAAATGTAAGGAAAACAACTTATGGTGAGGTCACTGTTTTTTTATTCTTGATTTACATGTAATTGTTTATGCAGATCTGTCAAGGTACTGCAGGGGGTACTCTCTTTAAAGGAAAAACATAGAGAAGCATAGAATTTTTTTTTAAACCATTTTTTAATACCCATGAGTGTGTTATGTTGATGTTTTTACTTCTAGTATTCCAACCAGACGTGATAATATGCGTGAGGGGTAAACTATGTTTGATTTTTGGGAAATGCTTTTTTACATTCAGTTGCGAAATCATTAAATTTTGAAAATCAAGTTGTTGTTTTTTTATTTTACCAGGAAAGAAGTGGTTTTCATGAACAAAGTTGTTTTTATTGTCTCTTCTAACAAACATCTTTTATTTAACACTAGAACCGCCAGGGGTCGCTGTAAGCGCCAGCGGGTAAATTTGACCCATGCACATGGCAACTGTATTTATATGGCTAAAGAACATATTATTTCACTGTATTATGCTACTGTCTTCACAAAGACGTGTCTAGAGTCATGCAATGATTATGTCTAGTCATCAACTATATTTTTATCCTGTTGTTTTATGTTCAATACTTTTTAATGCAGGCTACACTAATCCATAATGGTCAGTAGCCTAAGCTAAAAAAAAAAATCTGCACTGACAATGGAAATTAGAAGGTAGTAGCCTAAATATTTGGGTGGTTTAATATTATAATACAATGTCATTAATCAATATATTAAGATAACCCATGCTATGAATGACTAAAACAGCCTATAGACAATAATGAGCAATAATAATTCACCACACTGCATAGGATGATGCATGAAAAATTAAAGTGCACAGCTTCATCTAAATCAGTGAGTGAAAGGCCTAGAAATGTACAATGTTAAAACATAAGCGGCAAGAAAATGACAGCGCGAAAATGCATGCATTATATAGCGGGTAAATTTGACCCTCTGGTGCTTATAGGTATAAATGCCCCATTTTTTGATCTGGTTTTATCTAAATTATTTTTAACAACATTGGATTGTAAATTACATAATTTTAGTAAAAGTCAATGACTGGGAGACTTGAATGTTTTATTTTAAATCTGTTATGTACATTTGAAAAACAGCCACGGGTAAAATTTACCCCGTGGCGGTTCTAGTGTTAAACCCATCCAAATCCAAGATTCACAGTAGAGATAAACAGAACAAGGTTCAAAATAACCACTAAACCAATGATTGCTCAGAATTGGAATGATTGCTCAGAATTGCAGGGACTCAGTCAGACCTTGCTAAGATGAGTGCAATGACTATTATGCCATACTATTTTTTATATTTTTTTTCCAGAAATAAAGTTAACAATCAGGAGATTAAAGGTAATGACATAAAAACAGTGCTATACCAATTAATGTTTACTTCAGCATTATTTAATATTCAGCCTCGAAATAAAAAATAATCATAGCATATCATTGCAGGTAGCAGTGCATTTTAATTGCACATTTAATATTACACAACAGATTTTGGGTGTTTTGGAGAAGCCATGTTTACTGTTATTGTGTAGGCAGAGAACAAATGAGACAAATGCAAACAGTAACTTACAGTTAGTTACTCTCCCACTCAGTTTGAGTGGGTGTATGTACCTCTGGATGGTAATTATCAGTTGCTCTAGTCCACTATTTGTCTACACAGAGTTAAAGGTCAGTAGCTATGCAATTCTATGTAGATGAAGATAAGAGTTGGAGTATGTTTTCAGAAGATCACGTGTACACTTACTTTGTACTTTAAAGATTTCAGTTGAGTTCTTGCATGTCACTAAGAATTGAATGCTTCAACATCTCTTTTGACTGCAAATAAAATGACTATTTAGATTGTTTACATGCTTGGACATTCCAATATGCAACATTTAAGTTGTTCAACTCAGAATTAGATTGTGAGGAACATTCATAAAGAACTGAATGTTTATTTTATGTTTATTTTGTGCAAGAGTAAAGCTTCTGTATATCTTTACCTGAGACTGCTTGTAATATTTTGATGCTTGGTCTTTATTCAACTCATCGTCACAAATTAATGTTTGGACAAACCAACCAATGCACATTAGCACAGGTTTTTCAAACTGCATTGCCTACATGGTTGAATCATTAATCAGATGATCAATACAACTGTTTTTGAAGGACCTCCTTTAAAGTCCGTTTATAAGAGACGGTCCAGTTAATCTCACGATCACTGGTCATCATGGATCTGAATGTTAGCTGCTGTTGGAAATGGCTCCTTCTGGTCTCTTTCCTCATTGTCTGTGTGAATGGACAAACATCAGGGCCGTAAGTTTTTAATGATTTCTGCTGAATATAAGAAGTTATTCTGTTTTCAATCAAACTTCCATTATCAAAAGGTTGTCAGTAATAATAAATGTTTTATTTTTTTTCTTTTCCATTGTTTAAAGGAAACTGACATGAGTATTTGGTGTTTCATGAGAACAGAATACTCAAATGATAATAATTAACCTTTAAATAGTGCAGATTCTAAAATATTTATCTTGGGCATTAAAATCTTTTTCAATGAAAATTGACATTTTTGATGCCACTGCACTTTTCTGGGACAACTAGAAATGTTTTGTTTTCTAGGTGTGATAAATTATTAGAATACCTTGTCATTGTGCAGGTTAAGTTGTGATTTCTCCTGTATTTATTTAACTGATCTGTGTTGCAAGATAAATGTTTGCTGTTTGACGGACAACTTAAAACATGTATAAGGAACGTGCGTATCTAATGCCTCGGGCAATATTGTACAATTATTATCTTTCAATAGATATTTCATGGTGACGTTTCCTGCAGTGATCGAGTCGGGATCTGAGGCCAAACTGTGTGCAAGTCTTCTCAAGCCCAATGAAAGCCTTGCCATGAACATTTATCTGGTTCATGGTGACCAGAGCACTTTACTGCTGCAGGAGAAAGCTGAGGAAGAGTTTCACCGCTGCTTTAACTTCAATGTCTGTCATTAGCATATTATAATGAATATGTTTGTGTCATCATAATGCATCTAGTTTTTTTTTTTTAGATAACATGTTTGCAGAGGTTGTGAGTACAGGATATTTCTTCTCATCAGGCTCCTCTGGTAGAAGCAGAATCAGTGCAGAGAATGAAAGTAGAACTTCACGGAGAGTCTTTCAAGATGACTGAAGAGAGAAAAGTCATGTTCAAATCTTACAATCCTCTGACCTTTATCCAGACTGATAAACCCATCTATAATCCAGGACAGACAGGTGAGCTGTGAATGTTTCAAAGGTAAACCTTAGTAAATAATGCTGGTGTCATTGACATCTAAACCCTGATCACAGCTGATGTAGCACATATAAGTAAAGCATGTTATCATCATGCAATGAGCTGATAGAATCATAGGTCAAACATGACTAATGTTGCAAAAACCAGCAGATGGTAAGTAAACAGTTCAATGGGTTTGTAAACAGAAAAGAGGAGCAGATAAGTCGGAAAGCAGATAAGGATGAGGGGTTCATTGCTAACAGCTTTAACACAAGAATGGCCATCTAGTGTGTGTTTGTGAGAAATCCCCTCACATCCAAACCTATATTCAGCCTAAATAATGTAATTACAAAAAACAATGATGATATAAATCACTATATGACTCTTTTTATAGGATATAGGGATACGTGGACATGTGACAAACCTTTCATGGCTGTCTGGAATACCTGATTCTAATGGGTCAATTGGGGCAAAGTGGTCAAATATTTTTTGTAAAATGACAGTAAAAAAAAAAAAAACAGGCAGCTTTGAGTCACAGGTTTGGCTCAAAGACACATTCACATTGCAGCAGAATACAGCTGTCAGTACTCTACTGTATATTTGAGTCCTTAATACGGTTAAGTTCACACATAGCCTACATTCAGATATTTACGAGAGTGAGAACCGCATTCTATAACCAAACTCACAACCGCGTTTTCGTTGAAGTCCTGCAGTATGAACGCAACCGAATTGAAAGACTAGTTGTCATGGCATACAGTGCAGCTTTGTGCTGAACATACGCATGTGTAGCATATGTTTCTGGTTTTTATGTGTGGAATCAGTAACTTACAGAGCCGCAGATATGAGCTGTCTCCCAGATAGCAAAATTCCTGAGGCCCAGATCAGGCCCACACCTGACACTTTCATCTGGCCCACATACCACATGGAATGATGGCACTTGGGCAGTCCGCTCCTGTTTGCCAGATTTGGGCCACAAGCAAGCCAAAGGAAGGCCCAATGTCAGCCATGAATAAACCAAATAAAGCAGAACTGTCCCAAATCTGGGCCACATTGATTTTAATTCTGGCCCAGATCCGGCCCGGATCCAACACCTTACTCCAGCCCACATACTGTGAA